TATCTATCTATCTATCTATCTATCTATCTATCTATCTATCTATCTATGTTTGTTCTTGTATTCTGGGTGGGGAATAAGATCCAGATCATCTTTCCTTGAGAATATATTCCCTCCTCCTTGCTGTGACTGAACCTATCAGTGATAAGGAATGATCTTTGGGAGCATCTGAAGGAACTCCATTGGGTAATGTCTGATATTCAGAGCCGATGACCTCAGAAAGGAAGTCTTTGCCACACATTGAACTGGATACAATAGGTTCTCAAAGACAGTCACTTTCTTAAATCCTAAAGTCAGAGAAGACAATTGAGCTTTTCTAGATTTCACCTCGTTGCCCCTTAAGGGTCCAGAAAGAATGGGCCTCCCTGTTCAGGCATACATGATAAAAGTATATCAAATGACTTGACTAGGGACAATGGTGAGGTAGTGAGCCACCGGCCATGTAGAAATGCCAGTGTAATATTATCTACTGGACCTCAATGGGCTTACTGTGGCCTACCACAAAGAAGAGAAAAGCAAATTTATTTTGCAACAAATGCTTAAAGAGAAATTGTTGGTTTCACAAGTACTTGAGACTTACCTAATAATTGCTTTTCCATTTTTTTTTTTCCATCTCTGTATGTAACTGTATAAATATATTAAGAAAACAACACACCAATGCACTTGAAGCATCTCAATGTGATTATCACGTCATAGTAGTTTTTACTAGATTTACAAATAAAATCTGAAAAATGATGATGCATGATGCCTGGAATTTTGTGCTCAGAACAATGCTAGGTCAGTGAAAAAAAACAATTTCATATTCATTCTCTTTTGAATACTGCATGTGATTTCTAGTCACAGTTTAATAGACAAAAATTTCTGGTAAAGAAGTAAAAAAAACACCACTTGAAATTTCTTCCTGAATGCAGGTAGAGGGACTTGTCCTGTTGATTCTAAGAAGATATTTTCCACACTGCTTTGTAACCAAATAAGCCTTTGCTGCAAGAACTGGCTCATTGAGACCAAGAAGAGAAAGGGATCTGCACAGAATTCTTAGTAATGCTCCTAAGTTGAAGTAAGACGCCTCAAATGATCACCGTCTTCATGTCATTCTTTACAATACTCCATGTTTTCTTAGTTGCAATGATACAAATATAGGAAGTATCTATAGATTGCATAAATGTTGATCAGAAGTGTTGTTTCAGCATGAAATGTATTGTCTCTTCCTGCGAAGCTAAAGGCTCTTTGGTCATGCAGCTTAAAGTGATGTGATCTCTTGAGGATTGTCAAGTTTGTCATTATTTCTGAACTCCCAGAATGAATTAAAATAAATAAAGGGTTTTCTTCTAAATTAATGAGGATGGTTCTTATTTATTTCGTTTGACGATCTGTAAAATGTCATCAAGTGCACTGTAAAGAGAGGGAATTAATGGCAAATCATTACTTAGATATTGCAAAGTAAATATCAGGAAAGGATTCTCGTGTTTAGAAGGACAGTTTTTTTTATTAACACACACACCTATATGTTTTGAGGTTAATAACCAACACCCAGCTATGTCTTCAGTTAGCAGGAGTTTCTATTACATTTTAACACAGGATGGGTGAGAAAATAAGTTTCATTTTATATGTGTGTGTACACACACAGACATTCCAAAGGGCACAAACCATTTCAGGAATGACAGTTTCCTCTCTGTCCAATTAGGTGAATTGAATGTGATTATGTTGTAGTTCTCAGGGCTTTAATTGCACTTAAAAACTTCCAAATCACAACACATGTAGTATTTCCATCCAAAACAAAGGGGGAATTATTAAAATGTGGTGGGATTCCTTGTAACATTGGCAGCTTAGATGGCAATAATTTAACACTTGCACCATGAAATTAAAATTTACATTCACCCTGTGCAATTCTTCAGACCAACAGCAGACAGTTGTATCTATTTTTTTAATGAAAGCAGGGAGATTTAATTACTTGAATTTAATTAGAAAAACCTTTCTACTGCTTGATGACAAAGGCAGTAATATTGGCACAGATTTGCAATTGCCTTTTATGCCTGCTTTTCACATTCTCCATATCTCTACTTTGTGGCATCCATGTTTCTGAAGGCCATGAACAACCATATAGATTCTTCCACAGATTCCAAGCAATGCGTGTAAATTCCAGGTACCCAAATATCTTTGTTTGAAAGGCAAATGTTATGGCTGCTATAAGCATTTCAAGTAAGTTCCCATAACCTTTGGCATTTTGTCTTTCTGAACACAATATGTGCAAATTATACTAGTATTTCTTCTCAAAAATTCTTTCCTTTTGTAACAATTCATTCTGTATGGTATTGTTGTCAATATAATGAATGCTAAAGAATGGAGCTGTAACTCACCAAACACAAACTACCAAAATACCTTTGTTTTTATTGCCATGAGGTCTGGTAGAACAAAATTACCAAGTTATTTTTTTTATGCAGAAACATATATTTTCCTGACAGTTTAGAGAAACTAGTTAGAATGCTATCCTGAGGCTACATGTAAGTCTAAGTTGACATTCATATAAGTAATTAAGATAAACATTTTCTATACTCAGATAGACCAGGATGTAAAGAGAAGGATGAATGGCAGATGAGCATTACTCTATGCAGGTTGGTTCAACAGCAAAGGTAAGAACAACAAATGCGTACTGGAGATCAGTATGACTACTACTGTATGAGCACTGCAATTAGGGAAAAAATCAGAAAAGATTATTCTTATTATTAAAAAGATTTCTTAATTAATTTGGACATTTGTTTCTTTTAAGAAAGAGTAAACTATAGACACATCTGATTTCATTGCCTCAGCAGTACAGGGACACAGTACTACAGCCCAAGATATATAATCTCTTTACCACCTGCAAGACACCTCTGAAAAACTAATGAAAATTGTCTGCACTGTTTTTGTGTTTTATAATCAACAAATGATCTGAATTTAAGGACTAAGCAAGCAACTCTCAGGAGTAGGAGAAAATGCAAGAGAATGAGATACCCTCATGCAACCCACCTTTTAATATTTACACTTGAAATGGAAAATACAGATGTTGCAAAAGTACACATCTGGGACATTTTTTCCATATTTTTGACAGAGAACAATTTTCACTGCTTTTCAGCTAAATGACTTAAAATCAATGTTTTTGTTTGTAAAATCGCACAAATACTTTTGCTGAACTTGCAATCTGTACTGTTGTACTTATTTCTTTTCTTCCCAGAAGCTTTGTAGGGTTCTTGTCTGGGTTATAGGGTTTAGGCTGTTTTCTTCTTTCACCACTGTTCCAGTTCTCCATTTGCAAAGTGTTTAGATTATAGCAGACGCGAACTTCCTCTGTCTCAGCGCCAGCCATGAATCAGGCTGAGAGCTGGGACCACTGGCTGTCAGAGGACCCTGAAAAGCTGCAGCTTTAAAATAACAAGTATTTGACAGCTCAGTTTACAAAGCTGCAGATTGTAGCTATATTGTGCTATGGGGCTACATATGACATAATAACTGGGGACTTAAAGTTATTTAGTCTCTTTCCTCTTACCGTAATTTCCAGTAAATAAATCTCTCTGGGACAGGAGGTCTGTTGAGTTGTACAATGCTCGCATTTTCCTCACCACAGCTTGTCCTCTCTCTTTTCTATTTTATACGTTAAAAAACCTCAGTGTCTGGTAATCGCACTTCTAAAACACTTCCTGTTGTAAGAGGCAGACTAATATAAATACATACTGGGTATATTTTTAAATTTTTATTAGTCAAGGTATTAATTGCAAGTCTTCCCATCAAAATCTCTTCAGAAAATCCTTTATGGACAGAGCTTAGTGCTGTGTAGTTGGAGTGGAACACAAGCAAACTTTTAAAAAATTTTAAATGGTGCTTTAGAAAAAGAGCTGTGCTCACAAGATTACTGTGAGTCGTATTTTACAAAGTCAGTACACAGAAGTTCCATCAGTATAGATTCATCTGAACAGAAAAAAAAACATAACTGAATAAAATGTGATCACTGGAATGTTTGTTTTTCTTAAAAAATAAGATATTGTAGAATGAAGGAAACAACTTCTACATGAATACGTTTGCTCTAAGAGAACTAGCTGTTTTTGTTGCAGTACCTTTCCAATAACAAAATGGCAAGAGGTGCCAATATTTTCTTGATTTAATTTTCCCTTTACTAATATTTAGGCTTTCAAACAAGCCCAAGGGATATGGTTGCTCAGTTTGCACTAGACATTCAATTCTCTTTGCTTTTGAAATCCCATGTCTAATTTCTACTTTTTTTTTTTTTTTTTTCTTGAAAGATCTTAATTCTTCAGTCTCTTTACACTATCTTAAGCGTAACTCCAAAAAAGGTTTATTAAATTTTGGGATATTTTACAGGTAAGATTGCAGGAGACTTAATCTTTAGCCTTGCAGGTTTGTTTGTTTGTTTGTTTTTTGTTATTCTTTGAAATATAGTATACTAGATATGATGCACTACAACAGTCCATAAACGTTATATAAATGTTGTATTTTATAGTACGTGCATGGGTTCCCTGTAACTTCAGATTTCTTCAATTGGGCTCATTATCTTAGCCTCCATCTGAAGTCTCTGCAGACTTGATTAGGGTATGGTTTCTGTGGCCCATTTTAAGTGTGTACTTTAGGATGATATTAATCACAATTAGAACTATGGAGTAATTTCCACTGTCTATCAAGAGAAACCAGTGTTGACATCTATATCAAATCAGATTATTTCTACTTTTAAAGCTGAACTACTGTTAAAGTCTAGGAGAATCTTGAGTTGAGCACTTCTGGTTCTCATTGCCACCAATGTCAAAATGAACACTGTCTCTATGTATTTATGCTTTTCAGAAGAATCACAGTGAAACATGATTTAGGCATCATTCCTAACATTTCTGGAACTGATATCAGGTAGGAAAATGTGACTGCAAATACTGAAGGTGAGCAAAATGGATGGGTTTGTTGACTGTCTACAAAGGATAGTACAGATAGATCTTTCAGATTTAGAAAATGTGGAAGGTAATAGTTATGTGAAGGTAGACAGTTTAGATGACTTGGGTTTCTGACTCCAATAAATGACTAAAACCTAAAAATGTGACTAAACGTAAGTATTTGAACTTGGGCATAATCTGCCTAAACTTGAGATTTATTACCTGTATCATAAGGAGATAAATAACATTATTTTTGAAGTCCAATGATAGCTGTTATACTCTGAAATGTTAGTGCTGGATTCTAATTGACTAATCTGTATTGAATAACGTAAAAAACACACAGAATGCAAAAGGAAGCAAATTAATTTCTAATAGTTCCTTTTTTATTATGTTTGTATTATTTAAAATCAGGTTATTTTCAGAATACTGAAACATTTATGTCTTTCAATGTTTGCCCAAAACCTGTACTAGGTTTTTGTTGTTGTTTTTTTTTTTTTTTTTTTTTTTTTTTTTTTTTTTTTTTTTGTTTTTGTTTTTTTTTAAATAATGAAATACTGTTTTGTTTTGCTAGCTTTACATTTGGGAATTTGGCTTTAAAAATAATTCTTCCTATTCATTTGGAGAGAAATAATCTATAAATATACCTATTATACCTATGCACTCACAGGGTTTTAGCACTTGACAGTTTTATTAAAAACAACAAGTACACACAGTCTTAGCATTGTTTCTAAAATGTTGCTAATCCTTGACTGTGAAATATCAGAAAAGTGAAATGAGACATTGGGGTTTTAGTTTGCCAAATGAGAGAGGTTATTAAAACAATTTTTTCCTGTACAACATATTTATGAAAAAATGCACACAAAGAATAAGAACTCAGAAAAAAATGGCACATTTAGCAATAATTGCAAAAGAAATTCATTTCTTATGAACTTGCAAGGTTGTTGTATTTCCTGTTTTTTTCCCAATCACTATTGCAAGAAAAAGATTGTTACTTCTCACAAAATTATTTTGCAGATCTTTCTTACTAAAAGATTTAACTTGGCAATTAACAGCAATACAGTAATTGGAATTTATTTAGTTAGCTTTTTTCTTGCCTAAATTAGTTCATCTAAAAATAGGGCTTCTAGACCAAACTAGTCAGCTGGCTTTTCTCTCAATCAGTGTGAGAGACAGACACCATGAAAAAAGCACATCTTGGTCCTTGATACTTCCACAGAGATTTAATCACAAGTATTCTGAGTCACACAGTTTAGGTCAGAAAACCAAACCATTCACTGACAACCAATGAAAGTAACAATAATTCCTGGAAAACGAAAACCCCTCTAAATAGTAATTCTATTGAATTTTCTACTAAGGGATTAAGTACTGATCCTAACAGTCATTGGATGCTTTCCCTCCTCCTCAGAAGCTCACTTGTAAGTGATTTAACTTCCCACAGTGGCTATCTTTATGAACTGAATCTCAATGGCCCTTCTGATATTTTTTTTTTCCAGGAATTAGTTTGATCTATGCCTACTGCCATTACGTCTATTGCTTTTAATTTACAAAAAGATGCAAACAATCCTGAAGACCATGTAATAAGAAGTGAGCCATCCTTCATCTGTTTCTTTGGTTAGTGAGAATAAATTATTGCTAAAGCATTTTTTGTTAAATGAAGTATAATAGTATAACATACTTTCCTATTATGTAGTTCACAGGAGCAGCTGTGCTTGAAAAGGGAAAAAAGAGATTTTGGGAAAAGAAAAATCAGGAGAAAATAATGCAGATCTAACCATTTTGTTAACTTTTTGCTCAGTAAACCAGCTTTGAAAGCACAGAGAGAGATGGGTAAGTTTTCTGCTGAATTCATTAACCTTGAGAACGTTCATAGAAGTCATAGGATAGGTTACCCAGGACATTGAACTAGGACTCAAATGTTTCCCAGGGTAAAGCTTTTTCCAGCATTTATAGCATGATGTCAATGCAAAGCTTTTCCCAAACTTCCTGGAACAGTTACAGGCAAATCACTGGAGACACAAAAAATATCTGGGGCCTCAGCCAGCAGCATTCCTTTATGAGTACTGGTATCTCCATTTGCTCTTTATTTTCTTAATTGGCATTATGCAATTTTGAGGATTTACAGCCAGCTAGACTATGAAAAATGGAATAGAAAAGCCAGAGCTGAAAGTGACAGCAATCTTTTTACCACATAGTGGACATAGTTTTTACTACAAACTCAACTAGCTTACAACAAAATCTCCCCTTTAATTTTCTGTGATGTTGCAAAAGTCATCAGCCTCCCAGATTATATCTTATCTGTGGCTCGTATAATGAATGTTTTAACCCAGTGGAGCAACAGAATAAACCATAATTATATGTGTTTTAGGCTGAGGGTATGTTTCCTTAAAAATGTATCCTATTTTTGCATTAAAATCTCAGCTTCTTAAAACAAACAATCCATAGACTATATGATCATTACTCTACATTTTACATATGTTGTCAAACATTCCAATAGCATTTTAAAGCACCTCAAAGTACTGCTGTTGTGAAACTTGCAGATAATCTATGTAATCATGGACATCTGACTCCTAAAAGGAAGGTTATAAAAGGCACAGAGGGCAGTTAATCATGTAATTGCCTTGAGAAATAATGGGAATTGGGCATCTAACTCTCATCTGTACCTCAAAAAATGTCCCCTACAAAGAACGGAGAGTCTGTGGCCTTGGAAAATTCACCAGGAGAGTGGAATAACCTAGTTCAGAGAACTTTGACCTTGAAAATATCAGCATCTTTTCAGCAAGAATCACAAAAGCAAGGAGGAAAAAGGTATTCTGACTTAGCCTCCTATGAGCAATTCCTTGTCTACTTTCCTGCACTTTCTGTGCCTGATATTATCAGTCATAAGCAGTGGTCTCTGATAGTGCAGTCTGGAAAATTTCCTTCAGCATAAAAATATTAGTCATTCTGGGTGTAGTCAGTCCCACACTTCTGCTGATAATTTATTTCAGTTTTGTTTCAGCATATAATGTTTCCAACAGCTATGTCTATGGTGTCTGGGTCTGATCCCTTAGCTGCCTTCCCCCAGCTTGTTTGTTGGCTGCACTGGAGAGTGACTGTACAGTTGGCTCTAGTGTGGCTGCTGTCAGACTGTCTCTTGAAAGGAGCAGAGCTTCATTCCTATCCCTAGGAAAACTTCAGCTAATGGCGTATTAGCAACAGTGTGTTCTTTCATTTTGCTTGGAAAAAATTTCAGGTTTAGGTTATCTCTGGATCTCTGTAGAGGAAGTTTTGAAAGCCTGAAGATTTTTCTAACTAAACTGAAAAACTGAAATCCATAGTATAAATTTCAGGACTCTGCTACTGTTTAGGAATATGTCCTTTCTTTCTTCTCAAAATTGCAATCTTTGCATAAACAGTAGCATCATCCTGAAGAAAGATACCAGACATAAGGATTTATAACATTGGTTTTTTGTATGCTACAAAACTGTCATGTTCTCTGAGACAAGGAATAATAATCCACCGTATGAGGTAGTCTGTGTACACAAAACAAAACAAAACAAAACAAAAAAAGCAGGTCATGATAAACTCAGCACAGCTTACTAAAATCATAAATAAAGGAAAATGTTTTGTAGGGACAACTTCTGCCCTCATTTAGAAACAGTGAATTCATTGTGATTGCTTACCAAATTTGGCCTCAGAAACAGGCCATGTATTTTGTCTGTATATGTCTGGCTTATGTATTTTAACTGTGTTTACTTGACCATAAAGGCAGAGAAGTCTCCCTCTTGAACTCAGTGGAAGTGTTGGCTCTGACGTCTTATAGAAAAGAAAGAGACCAAAAATGGTGATTATTTTCTTTCTTGAATTGTTAGTATTTCTAACTCGAACTGTGATTCTTAACTACCATAATTGGCCTACATACAATTTTTTTTTTTTTTTTTTGAAGTAGAAATCTTGCAAGGTCCACAAATTAATTAGACTACTATGAATGTTGAGGGAAATGTAAATCTAGAGAAGTCAATACACTGCAACTTAGTCTCTCTCTTTTTTCATCTACAAACCTTTCACAATAGAAAATTGGGATTTGAAATAAAAAAATATGCAAGTGACAGAAAAAATAACCCAACAAAACATCCATGGCAAAAAGCATAAATATAGGTAAAAACAAAAGACAACATATGACGAGATGCTATGAGTGAGAATGAGAGAATGGGCTGGAATATATGATGAAATATCCAGCTATTGCTTTTAAAACCAAGCATTTTTCATGCTTTCCAAATCTGCATACTTAATGGCGGGAAACCCCTTGACAGAGGACAAACTGTGAACACTGTTAATGAATAAATTAGGGACAGTTGGGTGCAAGACCTGCTGTGTGATTGCTTCATTGCCCTCAGCCTGCAGCAGTTGGATGCAAGCCCTTCTCTGCACCAATATAGCTGCCAACAGCTGGAGGGATGCTCTTCCCTCTTTCTCTCCTGTTATCAACTGTATAGTCAGTTTCAAAATTTTCAAATGTGGGTGAGAGAGAAAGAAAAGTTTTTGTGATTTCTAGGTTGACTTATAGATAACTGTACTGGTTATCTTTTTTGTTTTTAGCAGAAAAACACAGTGGCTGATAAATAGTATCTTGGAGTTAGGAGTTTTGTTTTGAGTGCCTCCTCCAGTGCAAATCTTCTCAAAATGTCAGTGTGGAGCAGCACATTAGTAATTTTGTGAAAGGGTAAAGTTCTGAGGAAAATGAGATAGAGAATGAACTGAACATTGCTGAATTCAAACAGATATATGATGTAGTGGTGTTTCTGATGACTGGGAGAAATGTAATCTGACAGTTCCTACATCTGAGGCTTAGTAATACCAAGTATCCAGTCATAGAATACAGAGGAGAGAAAAAAAAAATGTTATTGTGCTCAGCTTGCCTCTTGTGATGACATGAACACCATACATTCTGACACCTGCTAGATGTGTCTAGATCCATGGGTCAGTGATTCATTCTAGAAAATTTTAAAGAGATCAATTATTTTTGTCCTTTTTTTCTTTCAATGAATCATCCATATGCTTAACACAGTGTTCTGGAAGAGCATTTACTTTTTCCTTTTTTTTCAATGACCACACTGTTAATGAAGCATTATTATTAAAATTACAGTTACTAGAATATTAGTAACTATATGGACACATATTCTGTGAATATTCTATGAAATTCATATAGAAGTTAAGTTTGGGCTTCTTACCATTGTTGTATGTTCACTTGCTCTGAAGTCAGAAAGTAAGATTTAGTCTATCCCTTTGTACATCATCTCACATAAGCTTTTCCCTGCTTTCACCAAGATGATGATGTTTCCAGTGTGATTGTAGCATCTGTTTTAGAAAGACATGATGCCTTGATGACAAGAGAAGTAGAAGAGCAAAGGAATTACAAGCACTAACCTGCCTTGGAGAAGCCTCTCTCCAGATTCACACTCTTGTGTTGATAAGGCCAGAGACATGTCTTGTCTGGAAGGTTCAGGCTACAAAGTGATTTGAATGACAGGAGGGTTGTTTGGGAACAAATGTCCCAATGACATCTGTGGTCTCAGAAAGCATTTAAACTAAGAATCACACAGGACTAAAGATAATGTAGAAACCCACAAGCCAAGGAGGCCTGCACTTAAATCACTTTATAAGTGAGTAATGCTGTCTGGTGAGTAAGGCTTCAGAGTAAGAACTGGCAATAGATATTGGCCGAGCAGAGGATTTTGCAGGGTATACTTTCCCTTTAAGACATTCAGTACATCTTGCACTGTTATCTTTATCATCTCCAAGTTTCCTCTTTCCTTTTCTTGGTAGCACAGAACTTTTCATATCTGTCCCCAAGACAACTCCTTTCCTTGTTATTACTTCAACTTACAAATATGAAATGAATGTTGCCCAAATACTTGTATGTGCTGAGTTACATTGAACTTCCAGTGAATCTGGGTATATGTGGGAGGAGATAATTCCATTGTTTGCAGGAGAAAGTATTTTGGTAGCACTGAGGAGTCAGAGTTGGTTCTTCAGCATAATTTAAACTAGTGTCAGCTGCAGGTCAAGACACTTATACTATTTTCTTAAATGTTACTAATTCTACACTGCTATTTTGTCCTTTGTGCTGTGACCACAAACTTAGTGTAGGTTTTAGACATCTCTAATGCTGGCCTATGCCTTCCTTATACTGTAATGTTTTATTGTCTCCTGATTTAGGTCTGCATTCAAATTGTTATCTACTGTCAACTGTTCTCCTTCACACAAATATCAAAAGATAGTGGCAAGTTTCTTTGTAGGATCATACCTACCCTCAAAACAAAATAAAAAAGTATGTGGAACTATTTCTTTGACTGAGGGTCTCTGAATTAATCTGTTATTTACTATCATCTTCTCCATAGTTTGCCTTGATTGTCCTGCGTGCACACTCATTTTTGGAAGGAAAATAGATTTTTGTCAGAATAACTTATCAACAGTTATTCTAAGATATTTAATATTTAACTAAAATGGAGTTCTGAACTTATCTAAGCCATATCACATAAGAATATGTGCCATAAAATACTTTAGCACCTAAATCACATCTTCTGTTCAATAGTTTTGTTGCATGAAATATTATCCAGGAAAAGTTGTTCGAACTGTTGCTGCAAAAAGCAGCAAAAGTGGTTCAACAGAACATAAAGAACTCAGTGAGTTGTGCTGAACTACAGCGAACAGACTTCTAATCAGAGAGTTTGTGCTGCCAGTCCCATAAAACACTAAGCATATGATAAATATAATAGAATAAGCAAAGGACTAGGAATCGCTGCAGTTTTCAATCCTGCTGCGTATGTGCCTATATTTTAGAACAT